TATACAAACTTCAAGTGGTGCTCGAAAGGAATATGTAAGCCGATCGTCATATTTTCACTATTATTATCGTTATTGTTCGCATTGCTGTCACTGTTGTTATTTCAGCCTTTTACCTAATCACAGTTTAATCATTATCATTTTTATTACCATTCTCATTATTACCGCAGCTGGATATTGGTTGTGGTTTGTTGCTTTGAGAACGCTTTTCAATCAAATGATAATTACAGCAAATAAGTGGTGATATGCGCTCAGACGACAATCAAATAATATACGAACAGTTCTTTGTGGATGTTCAAGATGCATCCACATCGCAGGTGATCGACGAGTCGAACGTGGTGGTGGATATAGATGACAGCAGTCATCAGCAGTCACAAATCGTTGGTGACAAGTAAGTATATTTACCGTTCAGTCGCATATCATTCGTTGTTCTGTTCGTCCCATTGCTCTTCCTGCCAAAATTCCAAGTTTTTGAAAGTATTCATGAAAAGTTTCACCTTCAGATCACTCTCTGAATCCAGTTACCTTCATTTCGTCGCATCCTCTTTGGAAGAAATTCCTCCACTTTATTTTTTATCGCCGTCGTTGTTTGTTCATTGTCAACCTATCATTACATCAGAACTTTCGATTCATTAACTTCATTTAGAATGAACTTTAATTAATAGTGAAATAAGCGAAGACGGATATTTTCAGGTATGAAACAAAAGTTGTTGTGGACGGTGATGAAGATAATGAGATTTCATCTGACGAAAACGAATCCCTCCAGATGAAACGAATGAAGCAGTCGAATCTGAGAAACAAACGGCGATATAAAGATGGAAAGGGTACGAAACGAGATGTTCAGTCACAGAATCGGAAGGGAGAGCAGAATAAAGAGGTGGAAGAGTTAGAGAGTCTGTTGCGTAAGACGAAAGATATCGACGACGATGTGAATATCACGAAGGAACTGAAAGAGAAGAGAATGCGTGCAAGACGTGCCGAGGCGGCCAGAATGAGATATCAGCGAATGAGTTCCGAAGAGAGACGTGAATATAATCAACGAAGACGACTTCGACAGCTGGGTATTCAAGGATCGAAGAAGAACGGTCCGATCGACGATGAAGCCATCAGACAACGTATCCAACAGCAAAACGCCAAGAAGGCTGAAGCCGCTCGATTGCGATATCATCGAATGTCTGAAGAGGAAAGGAAGTTGTACAATCAGCGAAGAACCGAAGCGTTCCGACGACGTCGTATCGAAGAAGAGATTCTACTGTCGACGCCAGCCGGTCGTATCAGTGCTGAGGCGTTGAATAAGGCACAACAAATAATGATGCGTAATGCGAAACGAGCTGAAGCAGCCAGATTACGTTATCGACGTATGACACCCGAGCAACGTAAAGCGTACAATCTGAGAAGGTCGTTGGCGAAGAAAGAGCGTGAAAATGGCTTGAGGACAACACCGAATTCATCGATGTCGATGCATTCTGACGGTAGTGAATTATTGCAGCTGACACCAATTGGTAGTGATCATGGAGGTTTCGTTGTGCAGGAGAATGCAATACCAACAGAAGAGCAGGTTGTGAATATCACCAAAACGAGTGATGACAGCAGTAATCTGAGTGAGGAGGCGTTGAATGCTCTTGAAAGAGATGTTGTTCGGAGAACGAAACAAGCCAATATGGTTCTGATGAAACAACGACGATTTGCGAATGTTCCCGAGCAGCTGATTGTGGTTCGTTTTATTTTCCCTTCAAAATTATTTTAACAGTTGTGATGCTTTTTGGTTGATAAAAGTGATTGATTTCGAATTGCTTTTATCAATTGATTAACAACTGAATACTTCGTTACAATTACTCGAAAAACTTTGACCATTCCATCATCATTCGTTCATTATTGTGAGTAAATTTATATTTTTCATTGCTGTAATCAAATTTAATCATGCAATAATTTCGTTCTCCCCATAAATCTTTCTCACTTCATTGATACACCACAAAAGATTGCAGTGATCCTCATGAAATTCATACGTAATCGACAACCTGAGCAGTAGAATATTACGTCTGACAATAAATGATTACTTTAAAGGTGGCCACTGCTCCAGACGGCACTCAGACAGTGATACCGTCAACGACCACTGAGGATGGCAAACAAATNTTCCATATACCATCGCATATCTCGCACCTATCTCCGATACAAACGGCCACCTCGTTATGTTCAACGTCTGAATCGTCCGAGCTGATAGCCGCCGATGTGAAGCATCATTCAGTGCGACGTTTCAGCATGCAAACACCCCCGAACACTTCAGTGGTGATGTCGTCCTCTGAACCGAGCCAACTGACCAATTTGATCAGCTCAGCTCAACAGCCGCAGCTGACCTCAACACCAGTCGATAAGACACAGTTGATAATCACCGATGTGAACAATCAGCAGCAGTTGACGCAGCTCTCACCCGTGCAGCACTCACCAACGATCATCGTCGACGACAACCTGCCAGTGGATACGTCACTAACCACCTCCACATCCACCCTCAACTCATCCCCTTCATCATCGAACACCTCGCAGTCGCACATTATCGTCGCTGTTCACGATGATGCACATTTGCAGAATCAAGCGCAGGTTCATTCTTTATTCATTCGTTTGCTCGTTTATATGCGATCTAAAAGAATGTGTCGGTGATTCATTTATTCATTTACAGATAATATTAACGGATTTGAATCAACCAACTGGATTAGTGCTATCAACAGTAAGTAATCATATACGCTCGAGAAATCGACAACACCCATTACTTACAGGCAATACAGTAGGTACTCTTCTGCAACAGCACCAACAACAAGAGAATAATCAACCGCAACAAACTATTGTTATGCTTCCTGAGCAGGTTATCAGCTGAAAGAGTCGTTCGAATTGGTGTGCATTGGTTGTTGGTTTGATATGTATGAGTGGAGTTGCAGATTCCGTTATCGAGCACAGCATCGTCGTCAGCGGTGAGATGCATTGGTGATGAGCAGCAGTCTGTGATTGATACGAGTAGTGAACGTCAGATCGCGTCGCGAATGATAATAACAACCAGTAGAAGTGCTAATGACGACGATAACGCTGACAATGATGACAGCAAGAATTCACAAGATATTCTTGCCGCAGCAACTGCAGCTTCCGTTGGTTGCATTAGCGATAACAGCGATCTGACGCCCCAACAACAGAAACTTCTAATACAGAGAGCAAAACGAGCCGCAAGAGCTAGGTGCATTGTAATTTTCATATAATTGTGTTGTAGTGCCACCAATAGTGCTATTAAAAATTACAATAATGATGATAGTAAAGTTTAGAATGAGGTATCATAACATGTCAGAAGAGGAAAGACGTAAATTCAATGCGAAACGTGCGAGTGCATTGAGGAAGGCAAGAATCCGAGATGAACAATTATGTCAGTTGGCGGAGACTGTTGGAATACATGGCGGTGCATTAGATGAAAATATCAAACAACAAGTATTATCCGATTAATTCATTACTATTAATATCTTTTTGTACAATAATATGCATTTGTTTATTAATGAAAAAACTGAAAGATAAATTTTGTGTCACCGTAAACGTTGATGATAGCGATGTGAGATTAGAGTACTTTTTGTTTGAAAAAAAAAGAATAGATAAATGCACAACGGTTGTTCGTATGAAAGGAAATGTTTATTTTGTAAATCAGATTGAAGAAGCGCAAAATCGACGTGCTAAACGTGCGTTGGCAGCACGATTGAAGTATCATCGGATGTCGAGCGAAGAACGTCGACAGTATAACGCTATGAGGGATGCACAACGAAGACAAAGGTGCGTTTCCTCTGATAGCGGGAGGGAGGGAGGGAGGTTCGAGGCTTAGCTACTGAAAAATGAGCGTAATGTTCACTGATTGAAATCATCTTTTCGTTTTTGATAGCGCATCATTCATCCTTTAGGTGAGCATTTTACTGTTTCATAACTTCATAACTCTGAAAGAAAAATGATCATCAAATTCAGCTGTTCGAAAGGTAATCTTGATTGATTGGTTTGGCGTTGAATTGTCTCGATCGCTAGAAAGACGCGAATTGTGTTCATTGATTGTTGGGTGAGGAACGAAGAGGGATTGTTGATGAAGCGAGTTTATGCGATTCGAAATGTGTTTTGGTAAAGAATTATTCAGTATTTAGGAAACGAGCGCAAATGAATGCTACCGCAATGCAGCAATGTGAACAAGAGCAGTTGGAGAGTGCTCGAACGGTGCATGATTCGGTGAGTTTTTATGGTGCTTTTATATAGTATAATCTTTCCTTCTTTATAACTGATCACTTGCTTCGCAAACATTTCTTATCGGTTGTTTTTAAGTGTGTGAAATTAATAAAGTATTCATTCAGTTACATTCTTCAATGAGTGGCACTTTTTGCAATCGAACAGTCTCTTGTATAATCTTAATTTGTTCAGGTGGGAAGTGATGCGGATCCTCAACAAGATCATTCATTAATGTACGGATCGTATATAAGTTTCGAAGAACCGGTCGAACAAAGTTGGAGTGAATAATAAATTAATTGTTGTTATACTGTTCGTCAGAACTGATTATTGATTCGTCATTATCGCTAATATTTCAAAATGCCACAATACTGGCGTATGTCTTATTTACGGGTTAGTTGCAACTTTCACTTTTTTATTTCATTTATTATGTATGTGTGTATATAAATTCGGTGATTGAATAAATCTCGTGAAAATTTTCTGTATTCATTCACTCAATAAATATTCGGTCATTATAATCAAATTTGTCATTTTGCTCTTTTCCCTAATCAGATTTCATTCAGTATTTTATCACTTAAACAATTCACAGCACTCAATTAATATCCATTGCAGGTGTTTCTTCTGCTTCTTCAATTTATCGATTTGATATCATAATGTAATTTATAACAATCTTGTCATCTTCCACTCGAATTTACTATAATTTATCGCTAATGAGGAAATAATCTATGTGTTAACGTTGTTATTATTACTGCTAATATTGGTATTATTTTCATTTTGATTATTATCGTATAAGGAAGTGTTGCATTAGGTTCATTCAAGTAGAGTTTAATTACCATATCGCGGTTTATTTCATCAGAACAAATTGAGCCATAATTATTTTCTTATTGTCGATCGTTATTCGTTATTATAGTTATCATTGACATTACAATCACATATTTAAGGTCGTTACTGTTACAAGATCTGTCATTGTTATGATTTTGGTTTTTATTATCATTATCACATCTGTTGTGATTGATCGTGAATTTTCCAATATTATTTTATTGTCATTTTGAAATGTTCTTCAATTTCCCTTATCGATTTATTTCCGTCGATCCTTTATAAATTCCAGTGGTGTCTCGATTCTTTTAATGTTATTGTTCAGCTGAATTATATTGTTGATGAGAAAAAATGATTTTCTTCGCTGTGCTGTAAAAATAATATTGCGAATTTCATTTTTACCAAAAAATTTTCAGCGCAAACTCAAACGAGTTTTGTTGTAGCAAATTATTTGTCTCCGTTAAATTTTACATTCTTATTTTCAGCTTATAACTTTCTTGATAATTCCCAGTGATCGCTGATTCATTTTTACCTTTGCTGTTTGAATCTTTTTTTAAATATTCCTTTGCTACATCTCGTTTTTGTCATCAATATCACGCTGTCGTCAAATC